CTAAGTTCTGTGGCTTTCCAACGCAACCTCTCATCTAGGCCCCTTGGCCTTCTAGCAAATTCTGAAGGTATATAACTTCTGAGTGCAAGCAGTTTGTCTGAAATTAATTTCACCTGTGTGGAAGAAATACGACAACGTAACTTTCCACAAGCACCGATCCACAAATCAAGAAGACGACGCATCACACCTAAGCATACTAAGTGCATATAGTCATGTGGAAATCCACTGACCATAGGGACAGAGGTTTCACAAAATGGGGAATGCTTTAAATGGTGGTCTTCATCTTCTGCATTTAAAAAAGATATTTCCGTTCTCACGTTAGCATCAAGCTCTGGGAATGTCATGCGATTATTAATGTAAATGCCTGGCTGTACACATTTATCACACCCACTGTACCCATTGTGTGACTTAATACCCTTAACGAAGGCTCTCGCTGGCGCATCACATATTACAGAGCACACAGTCAAAAAAAAGGTCTTGCCATTTACAACAAATCCAGTGCTCATAGATTTCAACTCACAAATCAGATCCTTTAGATATTCTGACAGTGACTGAGGCTTTGAGTTTCCACAGAAAAGAGCAATGAGCACAGGCTTTCTACTGTAACCCTGGAGCATTCCTAAAATTGGCCAAAACTGTATACCTGAACTTTTAAAAATTGGAAGACCATCAATGTTTAATTGTAATTTGAAACTGTGCTGATTCTGAACAACTGATGTCAACTTCTCAAAAAAGCGACTGAACATTTTCTGTATGCCAAAATAATAGAATGACCCACTTGCCAAAGAAGCAACACTATGGCAAGTCTGTGTTTTAAGTAAAGTTCTGGCATCTTTTGGCAAGAAGGGATGATGGAACTTTAGTATAGTCAAAAGGGCGGACAAAGCAATTAATGAAACACCAAAACGTGCTGCCCAGTCTCTTAAACAACCTGCTAAATCATTGTTAGGAATATCTTCCCCTTGATCAACATGGTTATCTTCATCAAATGATTCACTTTCTTCATTACTCTCTGATCCAGAGTTTGATGGCAAATCAAAGCCTGAAGCAAGTACTTCATGTTCCACGTTATTTTCTGCAGTATTATCTTCAACACTGATGTCCTCATCATTTAAAAATTGAAACAACTGGTTGACTCTTTTAACAGCCTTTTTTCTTAAATTACTTCGAGTAATGTTCCAGTTTTCCCTCTCCATGACACACTAACAATTACTCTTCAAAAATTAATGTAACAAGTCAATAGCCAGGTATTCTAAAAAAGAAAGAAAAACAAAACAATTACATAGATATTCTAAACAATTACATAGATATTCTGTGTAAGAATAAAATGTACCTTTATGTTGACAGTGCACTTGCCACTCTTCTTTTACCCCTCACCAGCAAATTTCTGTAACACAAGCACACTGTTAAAATCATGTGCCTAATTTGTAATTTGTGCATTATTGTTAGCATTAGTTAAAGACTGATAGACCAGAGCTTCCCAAATTTCAGAGATGTTAGATTCCCCAAAACATACCAAAATGCACAAGACCCCTATATTACTTTTATTCTTGGTGATTTTAAATGTTTAATACTAACAAAGTCTTTTTTAAAAACAATCCACATTTATTACCAGTTTGTAAGGATTTCCTGTGAATTATGTTCATCCCAAATGATAAAATACTGTAGTACACTAAAGTATTATGTACTACAAGCTGTAGTAACATTACTAATAATAATAATAGATATTGTGTTTTGGATTTCCCTTATGAAAAACAAGTTTATTGAAGTGAGCTATTTGCATACTAATTTAAAAATTAAAAAAGGAAAGTATACTCTTATAAACTAGAAAATGGGCCAGTTTAGTCCCATACGCAATTAGTAAAACAATAAGTACACTACTAGTACATTGATACTAGTATACTTATTAAAAAAAGTTTACTTTTACAATTACTTGACCTTTACTTAAGTATACTTCTTTTTTCTTAATAGTAAATAATACGATATGCAGCTGTTAGAGTATTGTTTTAAACCATAGTATGTAATAATAATATTCTGGTGGAATTATGAAATGGTACACATTAAAACATGAAATGGTGAAAGGTAAAAAGATAAACGAGCTGTGGCAGTTCGTCTATTTCAGATTGGGAAGCACTGAGTGTATTTTTAACCGGAATTTCTCTTATTAGAAAAGCTGAGGTTGTACTTAATACAAGCATAGCCTACCATCTCTCTATGTAATTCTGGCCAGAGGTTTATCATTATTATTATCACTATATCTTTGTTAACAGACATTTAACCGTTTGTCATCTAACTCCTTAATACAAATAAAGCACTGTTTGCCGTCTTCGAGAGTGACTTGCGAACGTTTTTCACAGCCCCATTAACGGTTGTGCCAGCAGCTAACGTTAGTAACGTACCACCTCGAGGGCGAGGTAATATGAACGTATGTCAGCAGCAGGTACTGTATATCAAAAGTTAGTGTTACGGATAGTTACCAAGTGGCATATAGCTAGCAAGCTCCATTCGGGTAAACTATTAGCAAAAACATTTTACTTAAAAATTTTTACCTGCTAGAGCTTTGCTGCTGAACTGTTAAATATTTCTCCTCAAACAACATAAACTAATGTGCATACTAGCTGCACTAAGCTGAATAACAATAATAATATTATTTAGGCAGACATACAAGTTTTTCAGAAGCTTACCTTTGCACAGCTTTCCGCCAAAACCATCAGTCCGCTCACCGAGCATAAGTGCGCCTCTTCGCTTTTTTCAAACCGGCAAAATTCAAATTTAAAGGTCCAGAACTCCCGCCTGAACGCAGGCCACAGATTGAGCTACTGATATTGGCCATATTATTCAAACGAAGTTAAAGCATTAGCTTTTACAAAACTGTCACTTGAATTGCAGCATAATAAATTTTTTTTTTAAATGAATAATATAAAGATATAATTTTTTTCCCCTATTGTATGTTTATGTGTAGCACCACAGCCCTGTGAACTGAATCACTTAATCACAATTTCATCAACATTTTATGACATTATTTAGCCAAATATAAGGCAAAGTGTTAATGTGTGTGTGAAAAAAAATCATGTCTGAAGACTGTGAAGACAGACTGTGCTATTGCTTGTGCGACCCCCAGAAAAACAATGCATCACAGTCTTGCATTTTACAAATAATGAGATAATCCTAAAACAAAGTATGTGAAGGGCCTGCACTTCAAAATACAGAGCACCCAAATGACACAGCGTGTTCCATGTGCTATTCCACAATGGCTTGAATTTCAGTCTGACCTGGAGTCTGCATCACCGTTTCCTGTTTTTCTCACTATGCTTGAAAAATAGAGACAAATTATGAATCCTAACTAAAATTAAACACAGGGCAGGGTAATCCTCAAATATGCCACATACAGCCTGAATGTAACACATATGAAACAAGCTTGCACCACGAGTTCATATCCAGGACTCCACTCATCCTGCCCAAAACTGTTTTCTGTCTTACCCTCCGGAAAGCCTTTCAGGTGCTTTTAGACCACTACCAGCAAATTTTTTTCCACAGCTGTCTCTTTATTGAAGTCTGCCCCTCTCTGATCACATTGCCTTTACTATACCTGGCTATACCTTTGTGTTTTTGCACCATTGATTGCTTCAGTGCTCTACTGGACTGTCTACATGCACGCTTGCACTACCAGACTGTTCATTTGCATGGCGTTCATTACAGTACAAACTGTTTACAATGCATTTTTGCACTCTGGAACTAAATATTGCCGTATCTTGCAATTGCACTGTTACTTGGACACCTGTCTGGAATTTATTTGCACTATTCTATATCCATTGCACTACTGCTCACTTAATCATAACTTATCATTGTATAAATCCATCTGTACATTTCTGTTTATATTAATTCTGTATATTATGTTCACAGCACAAACCCATCTGTAAATTACTTCCATAACACTAATTATGCAACCACTGTATATCCTGCACTTGCTGCGGATGCACTTCTGGTTAGACCAAACTGCATTTTGTTACTTTTACATGTGTAATGACAATAAAGTAGAATCAAATCTAATCTAATTCAGCCTTATTAATATGTATAATTAGCCTGTACCAAAAGGGTTTACATTTTGCACACACTTTTATCCAATGTGAATTACAAATGAGGTAAACAGTATTCAAACAATAGGTCAACAATACGTAAGTGCAATAAAACTGGTTTCATTTAGCCTAAACAAATCTAAGTGTTTTATAGAATAGAAAAAAGGATTGAAAAAGAAATAGAGATCTGTGTTAATGGGTCAGGTGTGCTTTTAGCCAATTGTTAAATATGGCTACAGAATCTTCTGATCCCAATGTTTTAAAGGATGAATCTGACCGGGTAAAGCTGGCAACATGATCCATGAAGCTGATTCAATTGGATGCATATTACCTTAATGCTGTAATAAAAAATTTATATAAACATTCAGGACATATTTGCTATTTCAAACATTTCTAATTATATACCATACATCTGGCTAGTGTCAAAAGTCATTGCAAGAAGTGTCTGTCATCCATTTAATGATATTTGGCCCATACCAATTGATGCCTATGTTAGGCTTACACCATAATTAATCACTGTGCTCACTTATTGGAAATTTTGCCTAAATTTATATTACTACCCATATCTGTCATGTGGGCTATGGTAGGTTTAACCCCTATAATTATCAAATGATCACTGTACTGTATCTTTACCAAAAGTGACATATTTTATGTTTTAAGATAATATTTCCATATGTGCCATATCTTACCTCAGCCACCTTACTTCACCGTCGTTAGTGAGAGATACTCTCCGAATCTTATCTAAAACTGGCCCACTTATGTTTTGTAATGAGTGGTCCACATTTGCCATATCTCATCTGGGCCACTTTAGGCTCACAGCCACATTATTCAGAGTTTACTGTGTAGAATATGTGCCTAAAGTGGCTCACATATGTCTTAAGATTACTGGGCCATATTTGCCATATCTTCTCTGGGCCACTTTAGGCTCACAGCCACATTAGCCAGAGCTTACTTTGCCGAATCGTATCCAAAAGTGGCCCACATATGTCTTAAGATTACTGGGCCATATTTGCCATATCTTCTCTGGGCCACTTTAGGCTCACATCCACATTAGCCAGCGCTTACTTTGCCGAATGTTTGCCAAAAGTGGCCCACATATGTCTTAAGATTACTGGGCCATATTTGCCATATCTTCTCTGGGCCACTTTAGGCTCACATCCACATTAGCCAG